GGTGTGGGGGGAGAAGGGGATGGGGTTGGAGCGGCTCCTTGCCAAACCCGTCCCCCCGTCCCCAAAATATCTGGGGTGGCTTCATCCCTTGCCCGTCCCACCTTCCCCGTGCCCACCAGCTTTGAGCGACACCCAAAGCCCTCCGAGTCGCGCTTGGGGTGTGATGACACCATCTACCAAACGACACCGTTCGGGGCAAAAGAACCCCAATTTTGGGGTTTCGTTGGGTAAGAAACAAGCCCGGGTGTCTACCCCCGGCGGTTCCCAGCCCCGCGCCGGCGACGCTTCGGCGCAGACCCGGCGCGAGCGGTTTATTTAATGTATTTATTGTATTTATTCAGCGGGAGCCCACCAGCGCTTGGAGGAACCCAACGCGTTGGGGTGAGCTGGAGCTGGGACGAGGGTGGGTTTGTCCCCAAGGCGGTGGGGCGGAGATGCCGGTGGCTCCTCTCGGGGCTGATGGATCAACCACCGTTACTCGTGACGGGAACCCGTCGGTGATGGGGAGGAGGTGGCACCACCTATGGCTGGAAGGAAACCCCCGGGAGATCATGGAGAGCGTCACCTGCAGGCGTTCCCCAACCGAAAAGAGGTGAACCCTCCAGGCGAACTTCAGGGATGGGAGCGGGACACAAAGCCAGGGATTTCGCGGCGTATTTGGGGTGGTGGCCGCGCCGGTTGCCTGGTCCGTCTCTTCCCAAGATGAGCAGGAGCTGTGTTTGTATTGTGAATAAAAAAAATAGTCTAGTTCGAAAAGCCGGCGGGTGGCTTCTGCTTCTCCTCCTCCTCAGAGCTGCGAAATCCCGGCTCTTCCCCGTGCGGCAAAAAAAAACGGAGAGGTTGGGGGTCGCCTTGGGTGGGGCACTCCAAAATGATGCCAAAATAATGGGGGTGGGGGAGGAGCCCATCCTGAGGAAACTCAACCAGCCTGCGCCGGTTCAGCTTCATTGGGTCTAGAGACCTTCATTGGGTCCAGAAAGGTTCTCCATGGAGGAAGATCTTCTGCCTTCATTGGGTCTAGAGACCTTCATTGGGTCCAGAAAGGTTCTCCATGGAGGGGGTCTAGAGACCTTCATTGGGTCTAGAGACCTTCATTGGGTCCAGGAGGGTCTCCATGGAGGAAGATCTTCTGCCTTCAGTGGGTCCAGGAAAGAGGGTCATCCTGCCCCACATCACTGCCAGACCCCGCCTGCTACCCGTCTCCTGGTGTGAAGTCTCCAGTGTCTACTACTGTGGTTGAGCTTCGAAGGAGGTTTCTATGGGACGTGTCCTCCAGTTTCCTTGGGATGTGGGCATCTCGTTGCCTTCTCTGTGGGCAATAAACAACTTGGGTATCTCCTGGGCATCTCCTTGGGCAACAACTTGGGCATCTTCTTGGGCAACTTGGGTAACTCCTTGGGCATCTCCTTGGGCATCTCCTTGGGTGACTCCTTGGGCATCTCCTGGGGCATCTCCTTGGGGACCTCCTAGAGCAACTCCTGGGGCGTCTCCTTGGGCACCAACTTGGGCAACTCCTTGGGCACAAACAACTTGGGTATCTCCTGGGCACCTCCTGGGGCACCTCCTGGGGCATCTCCTTGGGTACGTCCTTGGGCATCTCCTGGGGCATCTCCTTGGGTATCTCCTGGGGCATCTTCTTCCTTGGGCATCTCCTGGGGCATCTCCTTGGGTATCTCCTGGGGCATCTCCTTCCTCAGGCATCTCCTGGGGCATCTCCTGGAGCATCTCCTTCCTTGGGCATCTCCTGGGGCATCTCCTGGAGCATCTCCTTCCTGGGGCATATCCTGGGGC